TCCCAGAATTGTCCATGGACTCATGTCTTTGGAGAACAAGTCTTACTGAAGTTTGACTTCAGCTGAAAGACCGGTGTTCTTTAAAAAGACAGGTTTTGTCAGCAATCTGAAACCCAGTTACCCGAAGGCGAAGGCTTCAGACGAGGCTGAATAAAAAACCCTCAAAGAGTAGATAGAACAAAGAAAATTTTGAAAGGATAAAAAGTTGTAAATTTTATATAAATGGCGGCTCCAAGGCCTGTCATTAGTTCAAAATGTACTTACAAAGATTGTTCTGCCCCGAAGGGTTTACACATGGTATTTTTTCAGTACATCAGCATTCCAGTGATTCTTCAACTCAGTTCCATCCAACTGCCGAAGTCGGTATGTCCCTGGCTGAAGCTCATCATAAATTTCATAAGGTCCCTCCCATGTAGCTGAGAGCTTCCCATGGATTCGGCCTTTCTGAACTGCAGCAGCATTCCGAAGGACAAGATCCCCAATTTTGAGAGGCCTTGCATGGACCCTTCGGTTATGGGAGATGAGGTCTGAACTTATCCCGGGCATATCAGCTGCCGAGAAAGCAAACACATCTCTGTTATCCCGCAGGAGCTGAATAAGTTCACAACGGGTGTTAGGATCAAGGTCCATCCCGATTGTTACACATTTCTCAGCATCTCCTTCGGCCAACTCTGCTGTTTCAGTCTATTGGTCCATGTCCATTGCCGATGGACTGGACTCTTCAGAATCTGGTCTGCTGCCAATGTCAGCAGGTGTCCCAGTCTTTGTGTTCTTCGGCTGGCTCTCTGAGTCTTTCGGCTCAGATGAAGAGTCAACCTTTTCCCTTTCGGGACCTTTTTCTCTGGGCACTGATCCTTGGGCCGAAGCACTTAGGCCTTTCGGCTTTTTTGTGCTTGGCTCTCTTTCTTTTTCTTTCTCCTCCTCATCCTTGTCGTTATCTGGGCGACTACTGGATGGCTTGAGGTAGTTGCACCTTCGGGCGTCCTTCTGGTTGCCCTGTATCCTTTCGGGGAAGCCGGCGTCTGAGACATAAATCATCAGCTGATGATAAGTTGAGACGACCCCTTGGATCTCGTGAATTATGGGTCTCCCCAAAATCACGTTGTACACTGAAGGAGCGTCGATGACCAAAAACTCAATCATGACGTTCCGGGCTGCCTCATCGCAACCGATGGTGACAGGAAGTGTCACCTTCCCATCTGGATAAGTTGAAGCCCCATTGAACCCGGATACCGGATAGGGTACCGGCGTAAGGTGCTTGGGCTTCAGCTTAATTTGGTTGTAGGCCTTTCGGAACAGAATGTTTGCTCCGCTGCCACCGTCAACAAGGACCTTACTGACGTCGTGGTTGGCCACCGTGGCGATGATCACCAACGGATCCTCGTGAGGAAACGTAATCCCCCGGCAGTCGGCGGCTGTGAACGTCATGTTCGGCACCGGCGACTGGGGAGCTTGAATGTCAGCGTTGTTCACCTGGTGAGTTAAAGCTCTAAGGTGACGCTTGTGCTCCCTCCGAGAGTATATTCCTCCCGAGATAACATTGATCGGAGGGAATTTCCCCTCCGGTTTTTTACTGTTTTTCCGGGGGAAATCAAGGTCCTGCCGAGGGTCCTTTGCTAGCCTCTCGGATTCTTTTTTCTCGCGGTGATCCGCGATGTATTTTTTCAAGTATCCCTTCCGGACCATGTCCTCTATCTGGTCCTTCAGCTGGATACACTCCTCAGTGTTGTGGCCCGAAGACTCGTGGAACTCACACCACTGATTTTTATTTTTTCGCTGATACCACTCTGGGAGTGGTCTCGGCTTTCGGTAACTCTGCTCCTCCTTCGTCACACTGTAAATTTTGGCGCGTGGAAGAGAGAGCGGAGTGTAGGACTCGTATCTGCCTGTGTATGAGGCAAACCTGTCCTTCTTTAGGTCGTTGGCCGGAGATGGCTCCGGAACCTTTGATTTTCCCTTTGCCTTATGGCCTTGGCCTTCAGACAAGGGTATTTGCCTCTGTTTCCCTCCCCCGGATTGAGGTTGGGTTTTTGCTTTATGCCATTCTTCGGCTCGGATGAACTTATCCGAAGCACTAAGAGCTTCCTCCAAGGTCTGCGGGGTATGCATGACCATGAAGTCTAGGAATTTTCCTGGCTGAAGGCCATTCTGCATTGCAAAAACAGCTAGCCCCTGGTCCAGCTGGGAGACGCTTGATGACTCGTTACTGAAACGGGTCAGGTAGTCTCGGAGGCTTTCGGTTTCCCCCTGTTGCAGACTCATGAGCTCTGCGGTAGTCTTCTCTCGGCGGTTTGCCGTGGAAAACTTGCTCCTGAACTTGGAGGACAGATCATCCCAACCTGTTATGGAGCCTTGCCTTACTCCCTTGGAGATCCACGCTTGCGCGACCCCCTTGAGAGTGGTTGGGAAATATTTGCACCAAGTCGCCTCGGATCTGGGGCAAAGATGCATATGAGTCTCATACGAGGCCACGTGGTCCTTCGGATCCGTGGTCCCGTCATATGTGATATGCGACGGTATTTTAACCGTGGGTACGCGCTCTTCCAGTATCCATTGCTCGAATGGTGAACTAGCGGGTAGCATAATGGCCTTGCCCTTGTTCCTGGCCGAAGGGACCGCGCTCCGCCCTCTTAGAGAGGTAGGAGTGGTTTTCGCCCCTGGCTGGGAAGTCTGGGCCTCGGCTACAGGGAACGAGAGGCGACTACGCACGCTCGGTTCCTGGCCGCCGAGTCGGTCAAGGACGCTTCTGCGAGCAGTCTCCGGTTCCCGGCGAGTAGATTCTGGCCGAGAAGCTGAGCTGCTGCTCTTATGCGCTGCTGGTCTTGAGGATGAGGATCCTTTAAATAATTGAGAGTTCTTTTTCCTCTGTTTTTCATTTTTCCAAGAATCCTCCTCCCACTCTTCCAGTTCCCGGAAGGAAGGAAGCTTCCCACCGTCATGGTCTAACTTCCTCCGCTGATGCCGGGTATGCGGAGGAGTTCGATCACGAGGCGGTGGCATATTCTGTGCCCTCATTGCCTCCATGAGTACTGCCAGCGCTCTTGCCACCTCTTCCGAACTGGGCCCCGTCAAAGGGGTCCCCGGCCGAGTGTGGTAATGAGGCCGCGCAGCCGATGGTTGGCTTTGGGACACTGAATATGTCCTATGATCAGACTGACCCCTGCTAGACCGAGAGTGGTCCGGCCTATATTGAGAGTCATGCATTATAGGAGATAGGGAATCCTCCTTGTGTGATCCTCCCCCCGAGCCGGCACCCTTGGGAGAGTTCCGGTCCGGCGAGGGCGATGGTGTAGGGGTTTTAGGCTTTTCGCCCGCTCCTTGACGGAGGCTTTTGCTCTTGCGGTTCTTAGCCATGGCTGCTAAGATAATTGCAAGATGATCTTGGTTAGGAATTTGGCTTAAAGATTTTTGAAAGTCTTCCCCACAGACGGCGCCAAATTGTTTCGGTTGAAAACAATGGGACCTTGCCGAAGGTCCGTTGAAATGGAGAAGACTGGATTCGATCCAAGTTGTGTTGGGCCGAAGGTTTCCTGCACAGTGAACACACGTAAACTAGCCTCGGGGGTGTTTCCGAGGAAGGCCCCTCCGATGCTAAAGTCAGTATAATGTGTAAAAGGAAGACACTATGCAAGAGAGTTTGTAGCTTGAGGCTTTTGTGGAATATTTCTGAATGCAAGAATGAGCATACGAATTGGAATATCACTCTCTCCTTGAATGTGTCAATATGATGGCTTTTATACCTCATCATACATGGAGAGGTTGGGCTTTAGCCCAATTGGCTTACTTTGTGGGCTGACTTTTGACTTTTGAGCAATTGGAGAGTTGAACCTTGACCTTGGGCTTTTAATTGGATCATTTAGTGCTCAGGCCCAATTTTGACTAAATTGGACCCAAACAGTGATGATATCGACGAAAATGATGGGTCACCCTGCTCACATCCGAGAGAGGAATTCGATGTTGATGAATGTGAAAATGATGATAAATCAAAATCCTTTTTGCAATCTTTCATCACCTCTTTAATTTTTTTTTTTTTTTTTTTTTTGGGTTGAAGTAACTTGTTGAAATAAATGAAATTCTAGCTATATTGTGCTGCTAGTATATACGTACAAGAGTATAATAGAAAAATTAGGTGAAGTAAAAAGGGAAAGAAAGTAGATATTATATATTGGAGTTGGACAAAACACTTAATTATTGCATGTATGTAGAAGAAGATATCTAATTATGGAAATCAAATATTTGGACTTAAGATAATATATTGGAGAGAAAAATGAGGGGTTGTTGGCTTGTAACACTAAACCAAAGTGTTTAGTATGTATAATTAAGTGTCTATTCTTGCCCATAAGAAAAGTTGGTACAACTTATATTTACTTGTAGAAGCATATACTTGTATCATTGTATGTGGTAGTCTCAAGTCAATGCAATTGATCAACTCATCAAGCAAAGTCTTTTGGATTGTCTTTTATTTGGGGTAGGTTTTTAGTAAGAAACTTCTATAGTTTAGAATTTGATAATAAGCTTTCAAAAAATTATAATAATTTAGAATTATAGGAAGTATGTGTAACTGAGAGTTCTACTAAACCTCAACTATGCGTCTACATAGGCTCATAATTTTATAAAATAAATTGCATCATCTCTATAATAAGGAAAAATAGCATAGAGGATGTTGGGGGATTTTTATGGAATGACCCGACCCAAAGCAACTAGACCCAAAGTGTTGACCTGATACCCGACCCGATTATATGTTTATCCGAACTTGACCCAAAACCCAAATTAACCTAAACCCGACCTGACCCGAACAATCTGATTGTCAGGTCTAAATTCATAATCTACATCCGTTTCGTACGTCCTAAAAGGGATCACGTGGAACCGAAAGGGGAACTTTAACTACTTGAGTTATTTCTCACTCTTAAAACATACTTCTTCTGTTTTGTTATTATTGCAACAAGGGATTTGGGCACAGATTTTAAGAAAGAAGTAAAGTGAAGAGAGAGAAAATAAGCTATGCAAGTTGCACATGTGATTAACAAATAATAAGCAAAATTAAAAAGAAGACCCATGTGAGGTCTGCCACTTTTTACCGTGGCTTAGGATTTGGAGGAAAGTTTTCAACTTTTCACCCCACCAAATTTTCACATCTGAAAATTTTAAACTCCCACCAAATATTAGAAATTTTAAACTTATCTTTACAACTTTTAATTTAAAGCTACTATAAAAGAGACCAAAAATTTTACAGAGAACATTCTCTCATAACTCCACTTGAATAAATTCTTATTCAACCTACAATAGTCAAAAGTACATTTCTTCTTCTTCATTTTTCCTCTTCACGGCACACATAGGCACTTATCACCATCTACTTGTCTTCACTTCACTGCACACATTTCACCTGCAATCCAGATAATACAACCACATCACACACTGCACCTAAGAAGATTATGGATGATTTTTATGAGCTTGAGGAGTTGTACCAGATGGATTAGTCTGAAGCCTTTGAAGAACGGATGCTAGATTGTGAGGTAACATTTTCTTCAGAATCTGATAGTGATGATATTGATATTGATATTGTTTGGGTCCAATTTAGTCAAAATTGGGCCTGAGCACTAAATGATCCAATTAAAAGCCCAAGGTCAAGGTTCAACTCTCCAATTGCTCAAAAGTCAAAAGTCAGCCCACAAAGTAAGCCAATTGGGCTAAAGCCCAACCTCTCCATGTATGATGAGGTATAAAAGCCATCATATTGACACATTCAAGGAGAGAGTGATATTCCAATTCGTATGCTCATTCTTGCATTCAGAAATATTCCACAAAAGCCTCAAGCTACAAACTCTCTTGCATAGTGTCTTCCTTTTACACATTATACTGACTTTAGCATCGGAGGGGCCTTCCTCGGAAACACCCCCGAGGCTATTTTACGTGTGTTCACTGTGCAGGAAACCTTCGGCCCAACACAACTTGGATCGAATCCAGTCTTCTCCATTTCAACGGACCTTCGGCAAGGTCCCATTGTTTTCAACCGAAACAATTTGGCGCCGTCTGTGGGGAAGACTTTCAAAAATCTTTAAGCCAAATTCCTAACCAAGATCATCTTGCAATTATCTTAGCAGCCATGGCTAAGAACCGCAAGAGCAAAAGCCTCCGTCAAGGAGCGGGCGAAAAGCCTAAAACCCCTACACCATCGCCCTCGCCGGACCGGAACTCTCCCAAGGGTGCCGGCTCGGGGGGAGGATCACACAAGGAGGATTCCCTATCTCCTATAATGCATGACTCTCAATATAGGCCGGACCACTCTCGGTCTAGCAGGGGTCAGTCTGATCATAGGACATATTCAGTGTCCCGAAGCCAACCATCGGCTGCACGGCCTCATGCCCACACTCGGCCGGGGACCCCTTTGACGGGGCCCAGTTCGGAAGAGGTGGCAAGAGCGCTGGCAGTACTCATGGAGGCAATGAGGGCACAGAATATGCCACCGCCTCGTGATCGAACTCCTCCGCATACCCGGCATCAGCGGAGGAAGTTAGACCATGACGGTGGGAAGCTTCCTTCCTTCCGGGAACTGGAAGAGTGGGAGGAGGATTCTTGGAAAAATGAAAAACAGAGGAAGAAGAACTCTCAATTATTTAAAGGATCCTCATCCTCAAGACCAGCAGCGCATAAGAGCAGCAGCTCAGCTTCTCGGCCAGAATCTACTCGCCGGGAACCCGAGACTGCTCGCAGAAGCGTCCTTGACCGACTCGGCGGCCAGGAACCGAGCGTGCGTAGTCGCCTCTCGTTCCCTGCAGCCGAGGCCCAGACTTCCCAGCCAGGGACGAAAACCACTCCTACCTCTCTAAGAGGGCGGAGCGCGGTCCCTTCGGCCAGGAACAAGGGCAAGGCCATTATGCTTCCCGCTAGTTCACCATTCGAGCAATGGATACTGGAAGAGCGCGTACCCACGGTTAAAATACCGTCGCATATCACATATGACGGGACCACGGATCCGAAGGACCACGTGGCCTCGTATGAGACTCATATGCATCTTTACCCCAGATCCGAGGCGACTTGGTGCAAATATTTCCCAACCACTCTCAAGGGGGTCGCGCAAGCGTGGATCTCCAAGGGAGTAAGGCAAGGCTCCATAACAGGTTGGGATGATCTGTCCTCCAAGTTCAGGAGCAAGTTTTCCACGGCAAACCGCCGAGAAAAGACTACCGCAGAGCTCATGGGTCTGCAACAGGGGGAAACCGAAAGCCTCCGAGACTACCTGACCCGTTTCAGTAACGAGTCATCAAGCGTCTCTCAGCTGGACCAGGGGCTAGCTGTTTTTGCAATGCAGAATGGCCTTCAACCAGGAAAATTCCTAGACTTCATGGTCATGCATACCCCGCAGACCTTGGAGGAAGCTCTTAGTGCTTCGGATAAGTTCATCCGAGCCGAAGAATGGCATAAAGCAAAAACCCAGCCTCAATCCGGGGGAGGGAAACAGAGGCAAATACCCTTGTCTGAAGGCCAAGGCCATAAGGCAAAGGGAAAATCAAAGGTTCCGGAGCCATCTCCGGCCAACGACCTAAAGAAGGACAGGTTTGCCTCATACACAGGCAGATACGAGTCCTACACTCCGCTCTCTCTTCCACGCGCCAAAATTTACAGTGTGACGAAGGAGGAGCAGAGTTACCGAAAGCCGAGACCACTCCCAGAGTGGTATCAGCGAAAAAATAAAAATCAGTGGTGTGAGTTCCACGAGTCTTCGGGCCACAACACTGAGGAGTGTATCCAGCTGAAGGACCAGATAGAGGACATGGTCCGGAAGGGATACTTGAAAAAATACATCGCGGATCACCGCGAGAAAAAAGAATCCGAGAGGCTAGCAAAGGACCCTCGGCAGGACCTTGATTTCCCCCGGAAAAACAGTAAAAAACCGGAGGGGAAATTCCCTCCGATCAATGTTATCTCGGGAGGAATATACTCTCGGAGGGAGCACAAGCGTCACCTTAGAGCTTTAACTCACCAGGTGAACAACGCTGACATTCAAGCTCCCCAGTCGCCGGTGCCGAACATGACGTTCACAGCCGCCGACTGCCGGGGGATTACGTTCCCTCACGAGGATCCGTTGGTGATCATCGCCACGGTGGCCAACCACGACGTCAGTAAGGTCCTTGTTGACGGTGGCAGCGGAGCAAACATTCTGTTCCGAAAGGCCTACAACCAAATTAAGCTGAAGCCCAAGCACCTTACGCCGGTACCCTATCCGGTATCCGGGTTCAATGGGGCTTCAACTTATCCAGATGGGAAGGTGACACTTCCTGTCACCATCGGTTGCGATGAGGCAGCCCGGAACGTCATGATTGAGTTTTTGGTCATCGACGCTCCTTCAGTGTACAACGTGATTTTGGGGAGACCCATAATTCACGAGATCCAAGGGGTCGTCTCAACTTATCATCAGCTGATGATTTATGTCTCAGACGCCGGCTTCCCCGAAAGGATACAGGGCAACCAAAAGGACGCCCGAAGGTGCAATTACCTCAAGCCATCCAGTAGTCGCCCAAATGACGACAATGATGAGAAAGAAAAAGAAAGAGAGCCAAGCACAAAAAAGCCGAAAGGCCTAAGTGCTTCGGCCCAAGGATCCGTGCCCAGAGAAAAAGGTCCCGAAAGGGAAAAGGTTGACTCTTCATCTGAGCCGAAAGACTCAGAGAGCCAGCCGAAGAACACAAAGACTGGGACACCTGCTGACATTGGCAGCAGACCAGATTCTGAAGAGTCCAGTCCATCGGCAATGGACATGGACCAACAGACTGAAACAGCAGAGTTGGCCGAAGGAGATGCTGAGAAATGTGTAACAATCGGGATGGACCTTGATCCTAACACCCGTTGTGAACTTATTCAGCTCCTGCGGGATAACAGAGATGTGTTTGCTTTCTCGGCAGCTGATATGCCCGGGATAAGTTCAGACCTCATCTCCCATAACCGAAGGGTCCATGCAAGGCCTCTCAAAATTGGGGATCTTGTCCTTCGGAATGCTGCTGCAGTTCAGAAAGGCCGAATCCATGGGAAGCTCTCAGCTACATGGGAGGGACCTTATGAAATTTATGATGAGCTTCAGCCAGGGACATACCGACTTCGGCAGTTGGATGGAACTGAGTTGAAGAATCACTGGAATGCTGATGTACTGAAAAAATACCATGTGTAAACCCTTCGGGGCAGAACAATCTTTGTAAGTACATTTTGAACTAATGACAGGCCTTGGAGCCGCCATTTATATAAAATTTACAACTTTTTATCCTTTCAAAATTTTCTTTGTTCTATCTACTCTTTGAGGGTTTTTTATTCAGCCTCGTCTGAAGCCTTCGCCTTCGGGTAACTGGGTTTCAGATTGCTGACAAAACCTGTCTTTTTAAAGAACACCGGTCTTTCAGCTGAAGTCAAACTTCAGTAAGACTTGTTCTCCAAAGACATGAGTCCATGGACAATTCTGGGATATTGCCTTAACTGAGCCTTGTATCCCAGAGAGCCATTATCCGAAACATTGCCTTAAGTTGGCCCTGTGTTTCGGGTATCCATTTTTCAAAGATAGACAGAAAATCAAGGATAACAGCAACAGTTGAAAATTTTTAAATCAGCCTCGTCTGAAACCTTTGCCTTCGGGTAACTGGGTTTCAGATGGCTTACAAAACTCAGTCTTTTTAAAGAACACTGGTCTTTCAGCTGAAGTCAAACTTCAGTAAGACTTGTTCTCCAAAGACATGAGTCCATGGACAATTCTGGGATATTGCCTTAACTGAGCCTTGTATCCCAGAGAGCCATTATCCGAAACATTGCCTTAAGTTGGCCCTGTGTTTCGGGTATCCATTTTTCAAAGATAGACAGAAAATCAAGGATAACAGCCTTTTTAAATCAGCCTCGTCTGAAACCTTCGCCTTCGGGTAACTGGGTTTCAGATGGCTTACAAAACTCAGTCTTTTTAAAGAACACTGGTCTTTCAGCTGAAATCAAACATCAGTAAGACCTGTTCTCCAAAGACATGAGTCCATGGACAATCCTGGGATATTGCCTTAACTGAGCCTTGTATCCCAGAGAGCCATTATCCGAAACATTGCCTTAAGTTGGCCCTGTGTTTCGGATATGCGTCTTCTTTAAGAACGCTGGTCTTTCAGCTGAAGTCAAATTTCAGTAAGACTTGTTCTAAAGAGGTTAGTCCCAGAAAGCTAATATCCCAAGCATTGCCTTCAGTTGGCCCTGTGTTTCGGATATCCAACTTTCAGACAGTCAATCTTCAGTAAGACTTGTATCCCAGAAGCATTGCCTTCAGTTGGCCCTGTGTTTCGGATATCCATTTTGAAGAAGTTCAGAAATTGCTTATTCAACTAAAGTCATACTTCAATTTCTGTGGGGGCAAGAAGCACGCAGTGCAGCTATGTTCGGCAGAGTTGAAGAAAAGAAACAGTAAAGCATTCAAAAATAAAGCAACTGAAGAAAAAAATTGAGCTACAAGTTCAATAATTCAGTATCGGCAGCCGCCCACAAGCGGAAAATAACAGCTGCCGAAATACG